AACCCCACCACATCTAAATCCGCCAATGTGAACTGTATTTCAGGGAATTATTTGCTACTTTTTGTCATTCATTTTCAGTTATGTGCTGTTGGTATTGTTGCACATACTCATCGTTTTCCCCCTTAATGGGGATATCCTCTTGATGGCATCCACAGTCATGGTGCTCATGTAACTCTTCTAAGGTCATTCATTTATCTAATTCTTGTTCCCACTTAATTTTCAAAGCAATAGCTGTGTTTTTAAAAATTAATAATCTTGCACTTTATATATTTATCTATCATTTCAAATGCTTTCATATTTTCATTTTAATCAAAAAGGGCCTTGCTTAAAGATACTTATAAAACGACTGTGAAGTCATAAAACATCTTTAATATACTCAACTTTTAGCGAAATATGAAAATTACTGTATAACAACAGTATAGGAATTTTGGATGTAGTCTCCAAGAGGCATTTTAAATTTTTTTATTTCTTATCTGTAAAATTCAGATCAGAAGAGGATAATTTTACATAATCACCAGTGACAATAATAAGTGATGACAACATAATTTAAAAATCTCAGAAGTCATGAATAAAAAATATGATATAGTTGTCTGCTATACAGTCTCCATAATGACCATATACTGTGAAATGAGAAATGCACAGTTACCTTTCATTATTAACACCAATTAAACAATGACATAAATCTAGTACTTATAATAATAATAATAATAATAATAATAATAATAATAATAATAATAATAATAATAACTCCATTAAACCTTAACATCACATTTTATAGATATAGTGGTAGATTGTGAAGTAACAAGACAGCAGAAACCAGCACTACATATAATGTCTGTTCTGTTTCTCTCCATAATTCAGCAAAGACTTACATTGCACCATAACCAACCACTATTTCACCCCTCTTTACAGCTTTCCTCTCACATAATAATTTAGCTATTCTAGATTTGTTTATCATAAGATAAATCCTTGTCCATGTACAGATAATGTAGCAAACAACTTGCCGTTCAAATATACTCTATTTACTGTATGACAATTTTTATACTGATGTTTTTCTTTTATTCAATGTACTCTTTACTATGTAACAAACGTCATAATAAAAAAAATTGAGAGTAAAATTGGCAAATATACAGAAAAAAGGTAATATTCATTGTGCCATTTTCATATATACAGACAACGTACTGAAGATTTTTATGTGTGCTTCTAGTTTTTCCACATCCAACAGTGATGAAAAAAATAGACATAATGATTCACATTTATCTTTCACCAGTTGAATATCTCTCAAATCAGTGAAGGCTCCATCCTTGCTAACAGAGTACAAGTACAATAGTTTGTGGGTGTTCTTAGAGTACAGATTTCATCTCCTTTGAAGTATAGAACAGGAAATATGCAGCTGAACTCTGAAATTAAAAGAAATATGAAATACAATTACAGGAATGCACCAGGGAAACATTTTTGAGTTTGTCACAGACACTGCTGTGGATCAATAACAAGGCAGCAAAATTGTCAAATGTACAGACAAAAAGCAGAAAAAAATGATGCACAAAATAGCTAACTGTCAACTTTGATGCAAAAATACATTATGATTAACAGAAAAATCAACATCAAATTTTAATTATGCAAAAAAGGTAGAATGGATGTAAGTAAAATGTGTAAAATAACATAAGGCTTTAGGCCCATGAAATTTCAAGTTCATACTTTGAAAATGCCAGAAATAGAAAATGAAAATTTCATACTGTACAATAACCCAATCAAGCTGGTTTTTCAATTGGACCTATATGTGAATCCTATGAACCTTTCTTTTAAGTTATAGAATAATAAGTAACAAAGTTTTCCTTTCATAACATTAGTAGTGGCAGTGCACAAAGTAGTTTTTTTTGACAATTCTGATGCAATATTAGATAATTATAAACAGCATAATCGATACTAATTTGTAATTACCTACTTTACACTGACATTTAGAAAATGTAAATACTATTCGGCTTTATGCCTGTTGAAGTTCTAAGGCTCTATTCCCATAGATTTTAGATCGATCTATCCCCGCGGGGAGTCTCACTAGATTACTTTCAGATAATCCGACTTAAATGTCCGTCCCGCCTACTACAAGCTGTAAGGGGATAATTAACTTTCGTGTCCGCCCGGCTGACAGCTATTTAGCGTGAACCCCCAGGGAGTTAGGTCGATCTAAAGTAGGTCGATCTAATCTATGGAAATGGGGTGTAAGTCCTAATAGTTCTAAGTCCAAAGTTCTAATAGCTCTGAAGTAAGCTGTTGATTATCCAAGGGACAATTACAGACTGAACCCCCATTGTAGCCATATGGCACCAAATAAAAGATTTCGTGAAAAAAGAAAATTTCTTACAGAACTGCACTGCAACCAAACAGAAAGCAAGCACATCGATTTTCCAACACAAGCTGCACTTCAGTGCTATGAATCTTTTCAGTAAATAACATGGTCCCTTAATGGTTATCATGAGAGCAGTATCCAAAATAGGGTTTTCTTCAAGTTTTATGCAATATAACATAATATCTGTGTCTGTACATAATAAAAATTACCATACTTCTCTTTCTATGTTAACCATCATTTTAAACTCAAATCAATCCCAGAATGCGGTACCTTGACAGTATGTGTTATTGATCCACCATCATAAGTTTTACGGATAAACTTGGGGCAAATCATTCAGAGACAAAATTTATTATTTTTTTCTCATATTCTCTGTGCCTGCTTACCCGCATGCATGGATTGCTAACTTGATGATATAATATGCGGAAGAAGCACCAAATACAATGTGGCTTTGATTGGAGTATACCTTGTTATAATTATTTATACTGACTCTGTGGGGGACTATTCCTGAATGCAATCAGATTAACTGATTAATATGCCTCTCCCTGGCCTTGAGTAGAATAAAGAAAAACTGGTGTTTATATGAGCATGTTGGAAACAAGAGACGGCGTGTTAATCTTTTAAAGTGATTGCATTCAGCGAAAGTCCCAGCAGAGATGAATTGATCTACATGGCACAATACTTTCATTGGGAATGAGCCGTAAGATTCCCTGTGATGTTATTAGGAAGCCCTATGCCAAGAGTGTCTGCAGAACATTATATTCCAGATGTAAAATACTAAGACTGGTCAAACGACAGTAAATAGTGTTTTTTAAAGGTGCTGTAACTATATAATCTGGACAAAGACACTGGAAAAAAATCATACAGGTACAGTCTGCAATGTTAACCACTGGCCTGCCAATGCCAGTAAAAACTGAGATGGTGAAATTTCTGAAAAAACAGTCAGTTACTGGCCAGTGAATTTTTTCAGCTGTAACATGTACTCCAATTTCTTTATAATCTTGAAGTCATATTTTTGAAAATAAACTTTTGAAAACCCCATGTTTTTGTTCTTATTTGTATTAGGAAGCCTGTTTAATCTCAATCTGCTTGTTTAAGTATATTTTTTGAAAATGCCAATGACCAGTGCTTGTTCCATTGAATGAATCACATCACTGGTGTGCCACTGGGGGAATGTGTGAGGGGATAAACTTGATTAACCACTTAACAGGATATGATCATTTTTGATCTTAAAACAGAGATACTCCATATTAAGACAATTTCTATAATTATTAAGACCATGTAAGATCATCTGTGATCCGAAGTTGCAGATTCAAACCATTTCAAGCACTAGTGAAAAGAGTAGTAATGAACCCCGAACAGGGGGGTGCTTTTGTGGCTCTGTTAAAAAATAACAAGGTAAATTATCAACCTTGAAGAATCTGGTGAAATGCAACTTTATCTACTAAAATCCACAGTGCTACAACAAATTACCACTTAAATGAATTTGTGAACACAAGCCATGCTAATGTGATATTTAAGTATTTTCTTACCTTAACATTTGACTTTGATATCTCATAGACGTCATCATCATCAAATTTGTACCACCTCTGATTTAAAGCATTCTTACAAAATGCAGTGTCTGAAATAATAATGTATGCCAAGAGAAATTTAGGTTTATCAGCCAAAGTACTTTTTTCGGCAAAAATTTGTTGGACTATATAACAGTAAAACTGTGTATGTGTGTGTTTGTTTGTGTGTGTGTGCGTGTTTTTAAGTTTAAAATGTTTAACTAACCAGTCACTCCAATAAATCTCCGTAAAATCATAAGCCTCAAATGCAATCTAACATTTTTATTTGCATGCATGGTGAGATGCACTAACAAAAAACTTTTCTTTACATCAGTTACTTCATTTTGAGTTTTACTTACAATGTCCAGATTCTAAAGTTCCACCATAGTGATTCTGAAAAGGAGACAAAAGCAATGTTGTGGTATTTCATGCCTCTTATTATTTGTAAAACAAAAGTACAAAATAGAAAAATCAACACCGATTTTTAATTATGCACTATTGTTACTGCGGACACGAAAAAAACAGAACCTCAGAACCATGGATATTCAATGTGATGGCTTGAAAACATGAATGAGTGAAAATGAGAAATTAACAAAAAAAAAAAAAAAAAAAAAAAAAAAAATAAAAAATAAAGTCTTAAGAGCCATTGTAAAAAAATAAAAACTGTAAGTTTCAGAATAATAAGTAACATGTTTTTTTGGCCATATGTAAGTTGGGAAAGAGAAAATATATTGGTAGTGGTTTGGGATACATCGTTGAGGTGTGCAATAATTTTATAATCCAGGGGAAACTGTGGTAAATCTGTTAAATTTGTGTGAAAATGGCAGTAATTCTCATCATTGGACAGTAGTTAGGGAGCCTACAACCAGCCTATGTTGATAATAAATCAAGTCTCTTACCGATACTGCATACAGATTATACTCTGGCCGTCCCTTGGGTCCAGATATATGGTTATTCATGTCCAGTGCAGTGAGAGGGAAGTCCACATAGATGGTCAGTTTCTGGCCTCTATATCCAAAATGGAATCTGAAAACAGAAACAATATCATCTTAAAAATCTTATGATATGTTGATATTCTCCGATTTACTTCAGCCAGTATAACTGTCTTTTGTAGATAACTTAGGAGCATCCTCATCCTCATGGCAGTCAATAAGTGAAACATGCATAACAAAGTTGATATTAAAATCATGGTAAAAGCATGTCCACTCCAGTGACAATGTAACAGTAACAATGAGCACACGAACAATACGTGGTGCCTCAATATGAAACCAGACAGCTTTTGTGTTTTTACTCTCCAAATACTAAAAAAATCAATTAAAAGCTAATAAATAGGCCAAAGATAAGAACTTATGATACTGTATCTTTTATATTAATTATTATTGAACATCACAATAATAAACAAGTTGCCTTTTGATGTACGCCCTGCTATGACCTTTATTATAAAATACCACTTTTTACGAGATTACAAAGTGGATCGTATTCTTTGGTTCCATTGCCAGCACCTGAAAACAGCTGACTATTATTTTAATAATTTTTTTCTCTACACCCTAACACAAGGAAGATACAAGCTATTACTTTTCACAGCATGTATCTTCATAAGAAGAAGATTAAGCTCCTGCTCAGAGTTTTGTGTGTTCAGAACATAAAAACAAGATGTCAACTAATGATACAGCCTTGGCTCATTACCAAACCAACAATACCTGTTAAAATGTATGATGAGAAGATGGGGCAGCTTCCACAAGTCAAGCTTCTTGACTGCATCTCTGTCCTTCTTACACTGAGAACACTTCCACTGGATCTTCTCCTCCTTCTGATATAGCCTCAGACAATCCTGGGTAGAACAAAGCTACTGACAAAATGTCCAATGTATCAGCCTGTTTTTTATATGAAATATGATCTAACAGTACGAATGTTAAGTGCATTTCCCTTACATATGTAGAGAGAGAGAGAGAGAGAGAGAGAGAGAGAGAGAGAGAGAGAGAGAGAGAGAGA